AAGCATGTAGCTACGTGTCGAAAGAGACCCGAAGGACCTGGTAAAATTCTGTTTTCGTAGCCGTGGCTTCGCTGAAAGTATCGCTTGTACGCGTCGGTGTGCTTTAAATATTTTGTCGCTAGGGATTGATACCGTACGCCGCACGGTGTTCCACAATAACCCGAGCGCCACTATCTCAGAGCTCCAGGCTGAGAATTTTGCCTCATTGATTGAGCGAAGTCCAAGAGCGGCTAACATAGCGTGACGAAGTGTTGCTTCTGCTAACTGTAACCTATCACCTTCGTCGGGTTCCACTAAAATATGATCGTCAACCCATTCTTAAGGGAAAAAAGGTTCATTGTCCTTGGAATCTGACACTGACGCAGGTGAATTTGAGCCCATGAGCCATGATATTGCCCGGCCAAATAACGCGTAGCATGGCGACGACCCCGACCACCCAAACGGAGCTGCCAGATCGATAATAATAATTTCTAGCTCCTTGATAAAGGCTGCCATACGGAAAACCTGGTTAGCTCGGGTACGTAAATGCCGAAAAACACCCTTCACATAAGCATCATAATTCTCTCCGTGCAACCGCATGTAGCCAAGTACTCAATTCGCCTTGCAATAATCGCGACCGACTTATAGCGCACTTTTGGAATCGAATCCGCTACCAACGCGGAGTTTACCGAGTCGTTCTTCGAAAATGATAAGTCATGAATAGTGCGAACTTCCTCGTTCGGATCTACACCCTTCTTTACCACAGCCCCCAAAGGACTGCAGATAATTTCAGGAGGATATCGGCCTCCACAACCATATACTGACCAGAGTCTTGGCCTTCGCGAATTGACCTGATCACCGCGCGCAAATAACGACGACACGAACCGTTATTCTTAGGAGGTGGATGATTCTTCATCGGTCCTTGACGCCACTGTACATCGATGCCGACCTCTGCAATTTTAATTAGGTCATCGAGATGTGGATAACCTCTGAGTACGCGACGTAGTCGTTCTGGGTCAATTGCTTTGTTCGGCCTTCTGTCATTGTCGCGTTCGCCACGGATAAATTGTGTTGCTTCTTCGACACTCATGTTGCGTGTGCGAACCAAATGGGACAGCGACTTACACGCTACATTGTCGATCTCGTACGGCGAAAT